GAAAAATACATTACGGTTGCAATGTGCAGCATATTAGCAAAAAATTAAAAATTTGTTTATTCTCAGATAAAGATTAATGGTTCGATTTCAATATAAAAATAAGTTGAAAATATAAATCAGTGTAATTCGAAGTTTATTTGCGCAATTTTTCAAAGTGGCGAAATAAAGCTTTTAATTTATTTATAAATATAGATTTAGATTTCATAAATTGAATTGGGAAACAAAAATAAAAAAAATTAGCAATTCTTTAATCCAATCCTTAATTAATTCACAATACTCATGCATTACCGATCAAGATATTTTTGACGGGTCTCTCTAATGCATAAGAAACTATGCGCGATTTTAAATTTTATTTCCATTTCGAAATGTTTCCAAAGACATTACACTTTCTAACTAGACTCTTTTAATGATATTAAATCGAGAAACATTACATTTTTTATACTTTGTAATTCCTCCTTCCAAGGAAAAAGTTAAAATTTTGAAAAAGTATTTCAATATATGTATATATCATAAAATTTATATTATTTAAAAATTTGTTTATGCACGCGTAAAATATAATAAATTCGTTTTAAAATAATTAATCGCTGAGCTCTGCATTTTAAATCGTTTGGAAATTGGAACATTCTAAAGATATCGTGACTTCAGAATTCGCGTAATTTAAAAATTCCGTGTATTTCTCGAAAAACATTATGATTTTAGCATTAAAACTTGAAAATACATGTCTTTTAATATTACATATAAGAATAAAAAAAATTTCATGTTAATGTTATGTATGAGAACAAAAAATTCCATTTTAATATTACGTATGAAAACAAAAAATATGCATTTTTCTGCTGTCCAATTTGACATGTTGACAGCATGATATGGAGAAGGGGAAAAATCTCTATATTTCCAATTATTTATCAAATCAATAAATATTTCATCAATTTTTTGCAACCGCAATGGTAACAAGTTTTCTATTGTCAAATCTTATGCTTTGAGAAAAGAAAAATACTAACCTCTACGTGACTAATTTTTTTCTCTTTACTCAACTTACTCGCTCGTTTCCGAGCTATCTTGTCTGCCGCTATTCTCTGTTCCGCCAGAAAAAAATAACAATCTACACATGCGCATTGTTGAAATTTGCAATACTTTTTATGTCCCTCGAGCACAACTTCCACTCCATGAACATCGCATCGCCCGCACATTGGTTTCTTTCGCCCACTCTGCGTTCTAGGAATTTCTAACGAAGATAGCCTCTTTTTCACCTTGCCCATACCGCTTACAGAATAATAATGGATGAAAAGCTGATCTCTTGTTTTCTTGTCACAATAATCGTGATCGATTTTCTTATTGAGATCGAAGAAACGGATTTGAACGTATCTTCGCTCAAATGAGATAACGGCGATAATTGTTATCTATTACTTTATATGTAGAATTGCAAATCCTTTGTATTGCCATCCAGATATCCATGACTCTATTTTCTGAAATACGTAATAAATTATTTTGATCATTTAAATGATAAAAAAAAATAATTAAAATGCAATTTAATAGTATCGTTTATTTCAAGTTTTTTAAAACAAATTACTTAAAAATAATATATTTAAATGATACAAATAATTCAAATAAACGTTTCGGCTTACAAAGTCTTCTTTAGTGATAATATTAATGTCATGATCCCCCCTAACAAACATATGATCTCCTATCCTATCGAACGAATTATTTCAAGTAATACTTATTACAGAGGCGATGTGAACAGAGAAGATGTGTTTAATTCTTATCAAAAGTCAGTGTAGCAAGTTATTACAAAATATTATAAAGAGAAGAAAAAGGTATTTCAATCAAAAGATTGTTCCGTAATGTTCAAGAACAGAACCATCCTATCAAATTCCTCAACCAGAGAATCCAGCCAATCACTCGAACAAGTCGGCCCAAAAAACTTTTTCTCCACACTCCACCAGAACAAGTCTACAAACCATGATAAGTTCATTGATAAGAAATAAGCAATTATAGAATCAATCATATCAAACTTACATATCAGCTCACGTTAATTTGTATAAAATAATGTATTAAACCGCCAATTTCCAATCCAAGATTTTGACATTTTCTTTAAAATTATGATTTGAATCAATAATATGTAGTGATCAGTGAGTGTTTAGACTAATTTAATTTTATATTATTCTAATTTTGTATTAATCTAATTTTATATTATGAGCTTTACAATAATTACATACATTATAACACTTCTTATTCATCTAACAGTCAACTTCTATTTTACGTACATATTGTTAGTGTTGGGATGGGTTCAATACATTATTTTATACAAATTAACAGTTATTATTAATTATATGTTAATTTGTAAGTTTGATGTAATTGATTCTATAATTACTTATTTCTTCAATCAATAAGTTTATTATGGTTTGTAGATTTGTTCTGCAGAATGATGGAATGGCTGTGTGGAAGCTTCTCGGGTCGATTTGTTCGAGTTTGTGACGGACTGGATTCTCGATGGTATCAAGGAGTTTGATTCTGCTTGGATGTTATAGAATAATCTTTTGACTGAAATATCTTTTTCTTTTCTTCGTAATAATATTTCGTAATAATATGCTATTGATTTTTTGATATAAGAACTAAACATCACCTCTATTATAATAAGTATTATTTGAAATAATCCATTTGATAGGAGATCAAATGTTTGTTAGAGAGATTATGACATTAATATTATCATTAAAGAAGGTTTTGTAAGTCGAAACGTTTGTTATATTAAATTGTATATTGAATTATTTGTATCTATTTAAATATATTATTTTTAAGTCATCCATTTAAAAAGTTCGAAATAAGTCACGATACCGTTAAATTGCGTTGCAATCATACAAGTCTTTATATTATTATACTTTAAAATAATTAAAATTCAAGAATTGTTCTAAACTGTGACAATATAATCATATCCTAGCAGATATCAGAAAAAAAGGAAAAGGCGACTTCATGAAAACTGATTTCATAAAGTGACACAATAATATCAACTATCATGATAATATCAACTATACGCGAGTCAATTGTTTTATTATCATGATCAATGTGTAATATATCGTCAAATGGAATACTTTATCTATATAGATTCATGACGCAAAATACTTTTATAATTTATTTTTACGATGATTAAAACTATAATAATTAAGAGTCTGTTAAATTCGATCGATTTATGCAACAACAAACATTACTTAAAAAATAAAAACATACTTAGTATTACAGCATTATATAGAATATAATAATCGGTATTCATTTCAAAAAGATAAAGATAAAATCTTCGATTAACTAAAGTAATTAATGCAAAATCGCATAAGTTCAATTGTATTGTAACTGGCACATGATATATTGGAAGCAAATTAGCGATGCTCGTATAATTTGATATTAAACAGCAATTAAACATTACATGCGTATCGATGTTGGCTAGAATTGACGAAAAGATATTATAAAAATATATCTCATGTCGTTTGTCCTAAAACAACGTTTGTGCAACAACGAAATTCGGCCAGACTTATTAGTATTTTCAAGCCTCGAGATAAAAGATAGCCTGAAATGGATAAGCTCTGAATCTCTACAAAAATTATGATAAATCTTGACATGACTAAAACTACTTATAAAGGATGGAGAGTCACGATCTCATGAAGGTAAAGATATGTTTCTCCTGGCATCGCTGCAGATAGTCATGGTAGTGAGGTGAGGTAAAAAATACACCATACTAGAGAAACCACATCAAAACCTGTTTGATTAAATATTTGTAAATGAAAGATCGCAAATCGCAGATAAACAGGACACTTATTCAAAATAAAACAAAATTCAGATTTCCTAGATTTCATAAAGCGTTATTAAAAGATGTTACTTAAAACTTATTAATTTCATCATAATAATTTTATTGTATTTAACCATAATCTCATCTACAAAAATTAGAATAGAATTAAATGCAGGAAGTTTAAGTAAGAAGTGTAAACATCATTCAAATACATATGTGTTATATGATGTACCTAACAATATAAATTATACACATATATTAATATAATATATGTATACAAATATAATTTTTGGTAAATATGACTAAAATAATAAACTATAAAATTTGATAATTGACATAAAAACAAATTCTGATGTTTGTGCATAAAATTAACATTTACAAAAAAAATAATAAAATAATAAAATAGAGATATAATAAATTCAAATTAAAATTAATTATTTAAGCCGTTACGTTAATTAATGTACAAGAACAAAACAAAATCTACTAGATAATACGTTTGCTTTCGCCTATAAAATTTAGCCCCCACTTTTAATTTATTTTGACAATTATACTGAATTGTACTAGATTTGTATTTTATCATGTCCGAATAATAAAATTGTCATATAAAAAATAAAAAGTGATTTTTAAGACAGTCCTCCAATTTGCGTTTTTTCCAATTATTTAATTGTGCAAGGTTGTGCTAAGTTGTGCTAACTTTGTGCTAAAGCATCACCTAATAACTAATGCGAATGTAAACTGGTTGTAATCAAAATCATCGAAAATTATTTTTGTCATAACTTCTGTTGTTATCATTATTTAAAGATAATACTTAAGCTTAGCACAATGTTAGCACAATATTAACACAACTTAGCACAACTTAGCACAACTTAAAAAATTATAAAGTGGAAGATTGTGTGTAAAAATCATTTTTCACTATTCTTTAATGTATTCTTTTTTTATATTACGATTTTATTATTCAAATATGAATCTAGCAATTCAGGCATAATTCAGCACAATTTTCAGAATAAGTTATTTGTAATTTCGCATATACTCTCGAATGCGAGAATGCCATAGAAGAAACATATTTCATGCAGAATCGCAGTGCATAACCAATTATTTGTTATATCATTATATTTTCTAAGAATCACGAAGGTATTTATTATTTAGAATTCCAAACATACTTTCATGGAAACTAAAGAATAATGTGAATTGCAAATCACAACGCCGTGTGTTACTAAGAAAGCAAGATAGACAAAATCATGCTGGTAGAAATAATTGCAGAAAAATTCATTACATCATACACACACACACACACGTAATTATTATATTGTTTATAAAACATCCAAAAATAAAAATCTTCGTAAATATTATTTTCTATTATATTTCACAAATGAGAGTCTCATAGTCATTTCGAAATATACGTACATTATATATAATTATAGTGATATTGAACAACTATACAATTTTCTTATATTTCTTATTGTATATTTCATGCATGGTTATATCTCAATTCTGCCAATATAAATCATTACAAAATGTTATAAACTGACAATTTTTAAAAATGGTTATAAAGCGAAATTATTAATAGCCAATTAATTGTAATATTAATACAATTATATTTCTAAAATGCATATCTATGTATAAATCCTGTGATAAATATTCAAACTAAATGATAAATATAATAATGATAAATATTCAAACTAAATGATAAATGATAAATTCAAACTAAATGATAAATATTCTTTGCAATTCTTTGGAAACTAAAATTATATTATTTCTTCCATTTATAATTAGGTGTAGTAAAAAGAAATCCATTATTTTTGCATGAAATTGAATGGAAAAATAATGGGATTTCTTTTTACTACATCTAATATATAAACGTATATTTCCTTTTGCAATTCTAAGAACAACATTTAGTATATATACTTCGTTCGGCCCGTATTTATTTCTCATTTTTAAACGTAAAAACATTCAACTCATTATAAATTTTAGGTTTTAATGTTAGTACTTGTAGAAAATCCGTCAGCAATGATATAATTCTTATAGCACAAATTATATTGGTGGTATAATGATTGCTTTTCGTTGCGATAATAATAATGGCGAGAATTTAAAATCCGTATGATATGCGAATATTGCTTATAGAGTTAAATAATTCACAATATATTTCGTAGTTTCAACTAATCAATTATACATATACATCAGTCTATATTAATTAGAGGTAACACAAAATTTAGTATAGAATTGCAAAAAGAATCCCGAATAGAGTAATAATTTTAATACCAAGATATTGAACTTGCAATAATAATATAGATACTAACTTTAGATTTACTTGCATAATAATATTAAAGGATATATTCGTACAATTAATTACATAATCATTTAACTTTATTCGTGATTCTTAAAAGGAAGCACATCCAGAGAGATTTCAAAAATTTAATATATTTCTGTAATCATCATCTTTTTTCGATTACGTTTTATTTTTCTATTGTCAAAAAGATTCATGATATTTCTATTCAGTCTAGCATTGCATATTGCAAAGAACATTTATCTGCATAAATAATATGTAAAGACATCTTTAAAACTAAACTTTCTTGAAAATTTATTTTGTGCTAATTATATATAATATATTTAATTATACGCGGCGCGAAAGAGGCTCGAGATAAATCATGCGTATGTTGTGTTATCAGGATATCATCGCGAATGCGATCTCCACGAATAGATTCGCGATAAAGCAAGAAGCACAACCACATCGTGGTAGGAAGCGAATACATCCTGTCTAGTTACATTGTATCTCATTGCAACTTTTTAACTAACGATGACTTCCTGGCACGTCAACAGAGATGCCATCGGTACAATCACTCGCAAAAGTCGTACTTTCAGATAAATTACGAGAACAAAAAATTATACTTTTACTAAAACACACACATACACTTTCGCAGTTTCTTGTGTGTGTACATTATTCTCATTTATGCTATCATCGCTCTCCTGAATTTTCTTATGTAATTATTTTATACTCTGCTGTTTAATAAAGTATATGCTGATGAAAAAAGCATTAAAGTTACATTTAATTCATATTTAACTTAAATGTAATGTTTCAGATAATAATATAATAAAACCATTAAAATTATATTAAAAATGTACGATTATCTATTTAATACTTGCTTAAATACTTTCGCAAGTGACTGTATCGCGCGAGAGACCTCGACTAATCTAACTCAGATTTCTTTTTAACTTTATTCTAATATGTCGTCACACTTTAACTTGTTGATCTGTGCACCTACTGTTCTTATTTTTTTTAAGTTTTTATTCAATAAATTTGTTGTTATTATTTTTATTATTAATATTAATAATCAATATCATCCTTATTTATAACATTATTAGTTATGAGTAAAGTACTCATTATTGTACTGAGAAAAAATTCTGATTGAAAATGGACGAACCAAAAAATTTTCATCATATCAATCAGAATTCTAGTTATCTCAGTTATATAATTGTAATAAATTCTGTCTTTCTATAAGAAAAATCTAATTTGTTCATTTTCAATCAGAATTTTCTAATGTAAACTTTCTAAACTAAACTTTTTTTCTAGTGTATTAGCAGAGTTAAAGAGTAACTAGTTACTTGCGATTAAGTTACAGTTAGATCCGTTTTCACAATATATACGGTTACCTAAAAATTAAATATTATCAAGAGATTCATTCATTAGATCTTAAAGATATTTTTTCTTTTTCAGACTCTAACTTAACTTTCTTTTTCTCTAACTGTAACTAAATTTGTTTATACAATATTGTTAGTTACATTTCTTTTAGTAACACTGAGAAAAAAATATAGTTAATTTTAATAAATATTTAGTTCAATACTGCCAACTAAACATTTACTTATAGTAAATAAATATCTGTTCAGTAAAAAAAAGATTGTTAAATCAAATTAACATTTCTTGTATCAAATAAATATATTTTTATATTTAATAAATATTTAGTTGGCAGTATTCCACTAAATATTTATTAAAATTGACTATATTTTTTTTCAGTATAGTAATAATTTAAATTATTTTTACAACTATTTTACACATTTAAACTTATTTTTTATCAATTTAATGTGATTGATTAGAATCTGAATAGGTGCGCCACTGGTTATTAGAAGATAAAGGCTACGTTTAGAAGACAAACAGTAATTTAATTTTGTTTAATGTTAACTTATCTCTCGTAAGCGAATTATTTGCACAAATATCATGTTAATAATAGCGTTTTTACAATTCAATCCTCTTTATTGTCAATGTTATTATCTGCATGAATGTCGTAAGGTAGTAAGACGTAAGCAGTAAGTAAGCAAAGCGACCAAGCGGCCATCACAGTAGAGCACGTAAAATTATTGTCTTATATTTTCTACTGCGATTGAAAGATTCATTTACTGATTATATCTTACTGCCTTACATTTTTCTGTGTTTCTGATTTAATACTTTTTATCTTTTAAATAAAATATAGTATAACATGTAAAAACGTAAATCAATCTTCTTTTTTTTGTTAATTCTAGTAATATCAAAATATTACTTACGTTAATTATTTTATAATGATAACGAAAAAGCTATTGACTGAATAATTATAACTGTAACTCATTACTTTTTAAAATTTGTAACAGTAACTTGTAACAGTATTTGTAACAGTTACTTTTTAAACAAGAAAATTGTAACTGTATCTAGTTATTTTTATAAAGTAACTTTATCTCTGAGGATTCATTATCGATATGATATTAATTTGCATTAATACCAGTTGGTTAATTATAGTAATTTTAGTAAATATATATATATTTTAGTAAATATAATAGTAAATTTCATAATTTAACATATTGACAAAACAATATTTTGCTAATTATATACTATTAGAAACATCTCTAATACATTTTTAATATAATCTAATATAATCTAATCTTTTTTTATACAAAAACTAAAATCACAAGTTTTCAAGACAATCGCATATATTCGTAAAATGTTGCAGAAGAAGAAACATTCTATAAAACACTGTAAACGTAAATTGATAATATTTTTCTTGTGTTCGATATCCGAATTTCGTTGATGCAAGATTACAGTTTTCTTATAAGAATATCAACGGCTAAATAAAAATTTGCGCAAAACACCAGTAATTAAAGTGACAAGACTGAGATATAACTTTATAAACTACTGCCAAAATGAAATGAAATGAAATTGTATAACGCAAAAATTGCAGAAAGTGCAAGTTTCCTTGCCTAAAAGCAATTGAAACTTCGCGTCACTGAATTTGACAATACTGCGTGACATCAACTGCGTCGTAAAATTTACGCGCGGGATTTCTCGAGATTGAAGCTTGATTTAAATTGAAATGTGCCTATGACTTTCGTATATTTTTTTGTGAATATGCTAATATTCGCTATTGTACAATTAAAAGATAAACGAACTGTATAAAAGTAACAATAGAATACTTTTCATTCTTTATCATTGTTACAAATACAATTCTGAAAATTCTGTAGAGAAAAAAATATAATTTAAAAAGAATGTTTAAGTAAAATGTTTTTTATTTTATTTGCGAGTATATGTAATGCATATGTAATTTTTTCAATAATAGTCAATAATTATTCTATTCAATATCCTATTTACGATATATCATATCACTTAAGCTAGGCATCATGATATATTGCCACACAAGGACCATGTCAGAATACATTGTATATACAATGAATTTACAATGAATTTCTTCATTATAAATTATTCCAAGAGAAAGTAGTTGAAAATTAATAGCGGTAACTTCAGAGAAGCTGCGCGCGCAACAATAGAGTAACTTATTTTGATAATGCGTATAAGATTTTTTTTTATACCAATAATTATACCAATTTAACTATTAATAAAAATTATAAAATTTATTTCTTCTTTTTTATTTCTTTTATTACTTTTTACTTCCTTCATTACGTTGCTTTTCTCCTTTGATAATAGGAGTTGTTTATGCTCTATCGAAAATTAGCGCGCGCAGCATTTACATTCAATTACAACCAGACAGGCAAAAACAAATTCATTATGATAGAAGGAACTTACCCTGTCATCTGTCTTTCTTTCTCCCTTTCGCTGGCTCTCACTGGCTGTTCCGTATAATGAAGGCTTTGGATAAATTGACGGTGCTCGCGTGAGGGTCCACTGGCTCTCGTCACACGCAAGCAACACTGTATCTAGTAATCACGCGAGATCCGCCGGTGCGGCTCGGCGCGGCGCACTTGATCGAGAAGAATCCCTTTATTCCGTTTGTATCTCGCATGCGGAATTTGCTTCGCGTAATTTATCCGCAGCACTCTGGGTAAATCATACATGCATTGAGTAAACGTTTTTATTAACGTTCGTGGCGCCGCTTAACTTCGTTATATGGTCTTTGCGATGCACTCACGTTGCGAGGGCACTTCACAATCGTATACGCAATATGAGCAATGGGAGCAGGAGGAAATTAAGAGAGGGAAGGGAAAAGTGCGGCAGGAAATCTCCACCTCCGGAAATGGACAATTCTTCCTTCTTTTTCACCTTTCTCGTACGCTTTCTCGTATCTCGTCCTCCTTGCGCACCTTTTTTCTCCGCTTTATTCTCTTACAAGAAACATATGTACAT